TATATATTACATTTTAGATACACCTTGAACAAATAATGAAATGTCCATTGTTCTCGTTTGTTCACACCCACTTCATTAATATGGAAATTGCCCCGACTGCCTGCACAAGCTGATTGACAGGCGACATCTGTCCTCACATAACACAAATCACGGGAGAGCCCAGCGTCTCTTAGTAATCCCATGCAATCTCCAGGAGTGCTCTCTTATTAGTTGAACCCCCCCGCCCCAAACACACACAGAGGAAAGTAAATGCTGCTATTTGTGAAATAAAAGAGCGTTTGCGGATGTGGCCTGATATAGACGGGGGGCAATTACCAGCAACCTAGAGACCTAGAATAGAATATTCCGGGGCTCAGGGGTTAATGGGAGACATACATGTTTAACGGGAAGTAACGTTCTTATTTCCTTCTAGAAATGTGTGAGGTATGCTGACAATGGTGAGCCTGCCTGGAGAATTTCAGGGATACTGTATATAATATAGAGTACAAAGTAACAAACAACAGCCAATCAAAAGTAACTAGTAACTCAAGCCTAACCGGTACAATATGGATTCTGGGTTTTGGCTGATTATACATTTTGCAATTTGTTTTTTGCTTCCTGATCTGTTTGATTTATTAAGCTTAACTTATAGACAGAGTGAGTGCACACGTACGCCTGATGCTGTACAGGGCGTATTTTTCTGCCAGAGAGTCACAGCTGCTGTGTATGGACCCCTGCACAAATCAAAAACAAGATGCAGCTATACACTGGTACTTGCATAAGCATGCACATGTGCACAGAAGTACAACTAGTCAGTCTGCATTCGGGGTTGGATGTTCGTGCGCATGTGTGTTTTTACGCAAATACCGGCGTATACCCACTTACAGCAATTGATTTCTACGGGCAGCTGTACGCAGCAGCTGTGGCTCCCGGGCGGGGAAATATGCCCGGTTTTGGTTGTTGTATGGCCTCAGGAATCCATATGCTTGAAGCCATGAGGTACACATCCAAGCTTTTAACAAAAATGTGCAGATAATATATAAACTGACAAAAAAATAGCACAGCGTTTTTGGTGCATTGACTCACAGCACATTAACGTGCAGAAAAACAAGAATAGTGTGGATCCAGCCTTAAAGTGGACCTTGCACCCAAATAGCAAGAGAGGAAGGAACCTGTCTCCCATCTTAATTTCTGCACTAAACTGTAAAAAAATGGGGGAAAACATTTTTGAGAGTGCCTCAACCATCCTTCTGGCAAGATCTTTGGGAATGCCGTGTTGCCCAAATCTTGTGAGAAGATGCTACTGCAATTGGCTATAGATTCATTCATCTCACAAGATGTCCGTAGGACATCTTGTCGTAAGGATGGTGACATCCCCCCCGCATTACGAAAGCCTTGGGAAAGGTAAGTATATTAACTAGTTTTTATGTTCCCAACGCGGATTTGGCCAAAATTCAAGCTGTGTATGGCCAGCTTAACACTGGCACACTCCACACTTCCATTCACTGAGCTAGATAGAAGGTGTTGCACCAGCTGCAGAGGGAAGCCACAACATTCTCTGCAGGCAATTTAGTTGCTGTATCTCTTTCTTGCTCTGTGCACACTTTAGTGGTAGATTGGAGAGTTCATTGACAGTTTAGAATATCAACCAGACAGTATGTTGACATGGTTTTTGCAACAACAAAAAAACGTGACACATGGGATGTAACCTGTAAAAAGGATCTTCAGACTGTCATGTGTCTAAGGCGGTATGATGGCCTTTCTATGGTCCTATCACACTGAAAGGTAAATATGCTTCTTGCATTTAGTGTGACACGACAGCTGAGCTTACTGCCCGTGCCCAGGGGACTTCCTTCCTACTTTCCCAAATAAGAGTTAAAGTGAAAGCAGCCTATGATTATTATTTTCTTTTAACTAATAATCCAGTACTAGAATTGTTTAAATTTGACCAATGTTAGTCCTTTTTACACCTTCTGTTTCTTTGTTTAAAAATATTATATGCGACAGCTTTCTTTTTAACATGTAATTGGTATGGTCACATGACACCATGTCCATGGATCACCTTATAGCAAGGACGAGTTAACGTGTATTGAATAGAAGCTGCAGAGAATAGGTTTTGTATTTTTCCATAGACATCAGTGATCTCTCCACAAGCTCTACCGCATATTTTTGTTCTGGAATAAGAGTAAAAAACAAAAAAATAGACAAAATTGAAACAGTAAGGCCTTGTTCACACTAAATGCAGAGCAGATCTGCATGAGTTTCTGCACACGCAATGCAGTGGGTTGTGCCGCTTTTATGCCGCCTTTTTGATGCGTTTTTTATGCGCTACTGGCCGTTTTTGGTTAAAAAAAACATTTTTTTCTTTTTTTTTTAGTTTAACATAGGCTTTCAGTGAGTTTGCATGCGTTTTGATGCGTTCCAGAGCAGGTAAAATAGGGCCTGCTGCAGTTTTTTTACCTGCTCTGGACCTGCTTTGGAACTGAACGCTGCGATGTGAACTGGAGCTAAAAATACCATTGGAATACATTGGACGCAGTTTTGCTCCGGTCTGTAACTGCTCTGCACCTGCTCTGCGCTTGGTGTGAACAAGGCCTTACAAATGATGGGTGTTTTATTATAAAACAAAATGGTGGGCGTTGTGTCCAGCTTGTCCAGCTTCATGGAAACTGATGCATTTTTGTTCTATTACAGCATCAAAACCAGTGGACGCCAAGCTTTGTACAGACCCTTCTTTGAGTACCAGCCAGCTCTGCCATGTCCCATGTCCTATAGAGTGCGAGGTGTCGGCATGGTCAGCGTGGGGTCCATGTACGTTCGAAAGCTGTGATGACCAGCAGAGCAAGAAAGGTATGTAAGGTGAAAGGATTCTCTGGTGCTGACTGTATAAAGTGACTCTTCAAAGAGCCAATGAAACAAGATGCTTGCTATTCTCTGTGTCAGCTCCTATATGTGCCTCCTTGCATATTCATCTTGGCCAAAAAATATAAAAGAAGAGGACATTGATCTAGTGGGGAACTTTTTATTTTTGTGGTTGGTATCACTTAGACTTTATAAATACATGTAGATTGTCTTCTTAGTGTACAGGTTGTTTAAATAGAAGATTAAAATGTTTACATTGAAACAAATTGTATATAATAATAAAAGTGGAAAGGAAGCATTTGGACCCTGGGGTTGTCCTATCGGCATTGCACTCCAATAGTATTGCAGTGACGATTGTACGATGTGTCCGGGTTTCGAACTGGCAGCTTCTACACACCAAAGCATGCCCATAGCTTCCGTGGCTTGTGGTGCAAAATCTAAGATTGAAGCTCCACCACAAATGTATAGTCCAGATATAAATTTTCTTCAATAAAAGGTCAGGTAGAAGACCAAAAAAAAGGAATCCAATGCCCAAACTTACCTCCTTCATTAGGTCGTAAAGACAGAAAACAATGCACATGGACTGAATTGAGGATACAATTGTATTTTGACAAGTATAGTATCATGCACAGGACTCATCAACAAATGTATTCAAGTGTAAAGTCAGGTAGAAGACCAAAAAAGGTAACCAACTCATTTCAGGGGCCCAAACGTGTCCCCTTCATCATGGTTCAAAGATAGAAAACAATGTACCGGTATATGGACTGAATTGCCCATACAATGTTAATGGTATCTGGACCAGTATAGTATCAAGCACAGGACTCATCAGAAGTTGGTTTAGCAGTTTGATACAACATTGGTCAAAACACCATTAACATTGTATTCTTAACTTAGTTCATATAAATTGTTTCCTATCTTTAGGTCCTGATAAAGGGGATGAGTTTGGACCCAAGAAACATGCTGGCTTCCTTGGTGAGGGCTTGTTCACATCATGTCCAGGTCGTGTCTGGACCAGACCAGTTCCCGGACCAAAAAAGCATCCCAATGTATTCATATCGTATTTCTGGGCTCTGTTCACACCAGCGCAGTCCATTCTGATCCAGACAAAAAATATATGCTACTCGTCTCATTTTGTCTGGTCTAGGATGCACTGGAATGCATGGAAACGCATTAAAACGCATGCAAATGCACTCGACCGCACCTGAAAGCCCATTGTTACCTAAAAAGAACATTAAAAAAAACAGCTCCGGAACGCAGCAAAACGCAATGCACCGCGTTCCAGATCTGGTCCAGGAAGATACTGTGAACCTGGCCTTATGCCTGACCTTACACTGGAAATAAATTGGTATCTGGACCAGTAATTTGTCATTGTTGATTTAAAACTTATATTAAAATTTGATTAAAGCAACGTGTAGTAACATTGATTTTTTTCTTCTTTGTAGGCTTCAAGCTCAGGAAGCGTTACGTCACGAATGAGCCCACGGGTGGCATGGGAAGCTGCCCCCACCTAGTAGAGGCCATTCCTTGTGAAGAGCCATCCTGCTATGACTGGAGGCTCGATAAGCTGGAAGAATGTATCCCTGACAATGGAAATAACTGCGCATCCGGGACACAAGTGCCAGTTGTCACCTGTATCAACAGCGATGGTGAGGAAGGAAAGGGGTCTCCAATAATGATGGCCTTATGAACACAATAAAAAAATGTTTTGTACTTCAACTTAAAACAGGGATATTCACAAAAGGGTGAAGAGTTTGGAGAAGGCAGGAGAAGGGAACAATCTAGGACAACATAGGTGAACTGGAAAGTCAGCTGAATTGGAGAATTTTTCCAAAAATGTTGTCCTAGATTGTTCACTTCTCCGGCCTTCTCCAAACTCTTCACCCTTTTGTGACTAGCCCTGTCAGTTTTGGCATCAGCCAATTTATTGAAAACAATGCACTGCTTGTGCGGCTGATATTTTATCTCAACAGCTGTAAACCAGGGAGGTTAAATTAGGTCTAGATTGGTCCCTTCTCCAAACTCTTCACCCTTTTGTGAATAGCCCTTGAAGTGCTTGTCGAGCCAAAAACTTGTTTAACAGTTTTAGATAAAGTGGAGGAGGATTAGGACCCCTGTCAGGTTTCTGCTGCTATCCGAGCTTCATTAGAGGGATTAACTCTCACTTTCTGTTCTGCTGAAGTTTTCCATCACACATGAGAGCACCATTAAAGAAGATTATGATACTTTTCTGGTGCTACAATTAATATATTATAGGTAAAGCCCCAACGCCGAATTCCCATTCACGGCAGACATTAGGAGAGACAAGGTGAAGTCTGTGGCCAGTAAAACTAACCCACATCTTTAGGGAAGTTCATTCATTAATGCGTTTCCTACTTTAATGCGATATTAAAGTCAAACGGTTTTGACGTTTTGAAGCTTATTCGAATGCTGATTAAACCAACTACAATGGATGCTGCTCCTTTTTTGTTTGAAGGTTTTAACTTCAAACAAAAATCAGCTGGTCCCCTGTGCACTGGTCCTGATATCCTGCTATGGAGCCACCCTTGTGTGTGTCTCCATAAACACACAGACACAACAAGGCAAAGCACTTTCCTTCTCCTTACTTCTCCCTCCACCCTTCTCCAAGCTAATAGGTGGACATCTGCAGTAGACTGTGCTGTCCCTGGTGATCGTGTACTGGACAGGAAGTTCAGGGAAGCCAAGCTAAGAGAGTTGGAGCTGTTTGGAAACATGATGGTTGTCAGTGTTTGAGCAAAAAATGTAAAGAAACATTGTGCTGGGTGATGTATATTTGTCTGATCTAGATTCATAATTGCAAAAAGTTTGAGAGTTGAATACTACTACCGTACTCCTTACTGCTATGTCCCTTGTGATGGGTGCTGTAGTGACTGCGGATGGCGCCGCTTCAGATCCAAATAGGTCATGCCTGATGAAGGGACCCTGAGTGGCCCCGAAATGTTGCAATGTGACAAGATGTGTGTGCATCAATACAATGATCACTGCTTGGCTGCTGTACAGGCTATAGTGAATAGCCCACACAGCAGCCCTTCAGTTCGACTGAACCAAAGGGCTCCGGCGGCCGAAGAGAGCCGAAGGATCAGCCGGAGCTACGGCTGTATCCTTCGGCTCCATAGTGAATAACCCCCTTAGTCTCAATAACGTAAACGAATGCAGCCGCCTCATCTAAGAACATGTCAGCTACAATGTATTCAGTATTTGTTCTGGGGTTTAGATGCACAATAACAATGGCAGCTCCTATATTCCCATCTTCCTTCTGCACTTCTGAAGAGTACTTTGACTTCATAAACATACAAGACCAATAAAATTAAAAAGCATAAATAACCTAAAACTCGCTGTTTATGAATTTGGAAACATTGCAACAATATTATCTCCACCTCGGCATCAGGATACATCGGCACCTTTAAATGACATTAATTAGCATTTAAATTGACAACCCCAATATGTCTTCCTGCTCTGTATGCAGCTATAGAGCTCTATAGTCTCTGCTGTATGTTTGATGTTGTCTGTATCCCCTTAAAGAGTTGGTAAGAACAGGAAACAGACCTCAACTCATTACACTAATTGGTGGGAGTAGATGTCGGCGCTTTTAATGCTGACTACAACCCATTTCCCTGCAGAAAATCCAAGTGACACTATAAATATATATTTATTTTACGTCAAGACGGCAAATTAATTATAAATTCACACACGCCGGATCGTGGCGCGTGAGGTCACCGCTCGCTACATTCCAGCTACTAGATATACAACCAGCTTCTCGAGGTAATTACTGAAAATACATGGGATAATTAAAAATCAGCACGTCTTATTTTTTTTATTAGGAAATATTATATTGCTGGTAGGAAAACGGAGGATGGAAATTGTTAAACCCAATTTGATTGACTCTTTATTTTTTTGTGTTTGTATGGTAATGTGACATTTTTTTTTTTTTTTTACTTTAGTGCTTTTTTTGTTTAAGCCTTCTACAAATATTTGAGATATGGTTAATTACAGTCCTATCGTATAATTTGCATTGGTATATATATATATATATATATATATATATATATATATATACACACACAATTGTATTTTAAAGGGTGCAGTAACCCATAGCAAGCAATCGACATTCATCTTTTATTACTTAAAAAGTATCTTAACCCAAGAATGAAAATGTAATATATTGCAGCTTACCAGACCATAGATGTGTTGGCTTTTTTTTATGGCTTTTTTGTCTCTTTATTTTTACCTGGTGATCCTGCCAGTAACACACTTCCTGTCCTAGGGTGACAACTAGGGATGCACCAATATATTGTCCGAAAATGGCACTTTTGGCATAATGCCGAAAGTGCCATTTTCTGGCCCATACATCGGCGCATCCATTGATTCTCTCCTCCCCACTGGGCGCTGCTCTGTGACCCAGCAGGGAGGAGAGAAACTGTCACAGGCGGCCGAGCGCTGCGGAAGGAGAGCGCTGTGAGCGGCCGGCGTCTCTCCTCCCCGCACCGCTCAGCCTCCTGTCACAGTTCGGCAGAGCGGTGTGTGGGCGGTGACAGGGCTATCACAGGAGGGTGAGCTCTCCTCCTCACACCACTCACTCAGCCTCCTGTAACAGCGTGTCAGAGAGGAGAGCAGGTACAAGCCGTCAGTGATCGCTGAGTGTTTGTAGATAATTGAGGACATGGTATGTTTACTATATCCTCAATTATAAATGAATGGGAAGTAATCTACATCACCTCCTGTTCATTCATAGTTGTGGATATAGTAAACATACTCTGTCCTCATGTTATGAATGAACAGGAACACTCAGTATAGAGGAATCCTGTTCATTGATAACAGGGGCTGCAGAAAAAGAGATTGAGGACTCTGTGTTCTCAATCTCTTTTTCTATTTTAAAAGGGAAATATCAGGAGTCTGTTTAGATCCCTAATATTTCCCCAGAAGCCCCTCAATGTAAAGTAAAACATGAAAATATTTAATAAAAAAATGAATAAATAAAACTAAATATAAAAAATTACAAAGCTTATCAAAAATAAAATAGTTTAAACAAGTTAAAATAAAAAAACATTTTTGGTTTCGGCCTGACATTTTTTGAAATTTCGGTTTCGGTTTTCATTTCTGTGCACCTCTAGTGACAACGCTCATTCATTGTACTGTATCTATGGAGGAGCGGCGTTGTCCTGCTTGGACAGGAAGCAGGCCTGAGCTACAGAACTCCTCCCCCTCTTCCCATCTCCATTACATGGGGTTAGGTGTTCTGCAGTCCACAGAGAAAAATAGAAAACATGCTAAACATTGTTAAGCACAGCAAGTTATAAGTTCATATGATTTTATCGAAGGTTTTTTTTTTTTTACTTATTAAACAGATGTGATGCTAAAACACCAGCACATGGATCTTCCCCAAATATGACCTTATTTTATTTTGGCTTATGAAACAGTAAAACAGCATACACCTTTCTCCCCAAACCTTGGGCCTTAGTCATAGCTAAGCCATATCAGGAAGTTGACTGTTAGCATTTTAGTATGTCCAAGTGGGACTGATATTTTAACTCCTATTTTAACACCCAACATAAAAAAAGAAGGTTGCGGCGTTTCGGCTAAACGGCCATAATCATCAGCTATGATTAAGGCTGTTTTGCCGAAACACATCAGCGTTCTTGTTGCTTTTGAGAAAGATCCCAGTCAGACTCCAGCTTTGCCTTTTAGTTGAATAATTCATGTAGAGTGTACAGGAGTATTATACTATTGAGACAATTTTCCATGAACTGCAATGGCAGAGAGGTAGGACATTTTTTTCATTCATATAAATATATTTCCATCCTGCATCGGCACTCCTGATTTGCTCACACCAGATATGTGGACATTGTCACATGATCCTGCAAGTCTGCTTCCTATGTTCAAAGATGCTGCCTAGGATAAAGGATCACTACATGGGCTCTTGATGTGATGTAGACCCAGAGAGGGATTTACTCCTCAATGGAAATGAGCCTGGATAGAAGAACTGATGTCACTCTAGTGCAGATGGTGAATTATGGGGACACCAGAGGTGTCAGATTCAAAGCCATTTTATTGCAATGCCACCTCTGCAGCCCAGGACTGATATATAGTCCCTGACATAACAACCATGCCGGCTGCATAGCGGTAATGTAAAAGGCACATTAGAGGCAAAGAATGACCATAAAAATTGCCTTGACTTCCACTTTACGTTACAACCTCAGTTCCACTTGAAGGGAGCGCTCATGCGTCACTCGCGTCGCTCCTGAAGAAAACATTCTATCAATAAAATATGTATCTGAAGGTGGTTCTCTAATAGTTTCATTGGCCACCCTCGGGGGTCCATCATTTGCCATCCTCCAGCAGTTCCTCCGCTGCCTTCTGCTCGCACAGCGGGAGATTGAAATGCAGGAATGTGCCTCTGACACTGAGCTGTGAGATATCTTCACGGCCTTGTCTGGGAGCTCCTAGACTTTGTATCCTCTCGCAGTATTCTTGTTACATTTATATCCTTTGTTTCAAATCTTCATTGCTGCTCTTCTTATTTCAGTAAGGGCAAGTTCACACCCGAACTGCATGCGTCTGCGCAGCTGTAGTGCCTACAATTGTGCTGCAATTTCACCACAATTAATGCAGGGTTTTCTTTGTGTGTGCTTAAAATGGGATTTCAGGTGCGTTTGCATGAGTTTTTGATGTGTTTGATGCGTTCCATGTCTACTGCATCTGGTGTGAGCTGCACACCTCAAACAGTGCATTCTGGCCCGATCGCATTCCAGCCGGCTCACTTTGTTTTTGGGTGTAGGGGGGGGGGGGGGGGGCAC